ACGACTGCTAGACTAATAAATATTTAAATAAAGCGGCCGACTGCTTGGCGCGTCACCGTTGCATTGTGGGAAATGTAGTATTGGTGCGTGTAAAAGATCTGCGGGCTCTCGGCTTGCTGCGGTCCGCGGGCCGGTTCTAATAATAAATCAATATCATCCCAGGGGCCACTGAAAACATTCTCGCGGGCCGGATTTGGCCCACGGGCCGGCACTTTGACATATCTGGTGTACAGTGTAAATAGGAAGGGGCTCAGCACACAGCCCTGGGGGGAGCCCGTGCTGAGTGTCAGTGTGGAGCATGTATGGGGCTCCACCCTCACAGTCTGTGGTCGAACTGTCAGGAAGCTTCTGATCCATTTGCAAGTGGGGGATGGGTAGTCCAGGTCCTTCAACTTTGTGATGAGAATGTCGGTCAGGATGGTCTTGAATGCTGAACTAAAATCCACAAAAAGCGCCCTGACATAGCTTCCCTGCTTCTCTCCATGGCTCGCGACAGCATGAACAAAGGTGGAGATGGCATCAGCTGTTGATCTATTTTGTCTGTAGGCAAACTGATGCTGGTCAAAGTTCTGTGGGAGGCGTGATTTTAGGTGGCGAAGAACTAGCCTCTCAAGACATTTCATGACCACCGGGGTCAGTGCCACTGGTCTGTAATCATTCAGGCTGCTGATGGTATGTTTCTTGGGGACGGGTATGATGGTGGCTGCTTTCAGGCATGACGGAACGATGGCCTGTGCCAGCGAGGAGTTGAAGATCTGTGTTAGGATCCCTGTCAGTTGGTCTGCACAGGCCTTCAGCACTTTCCCCTGTACTCCGTCCGGTCCTGTGGCTTTATGCGGGTTCACAGCTTTCAGGACTGCTCTCACCTCATGCTCCTTCAGCTGTAGCGACTGCGTGCTGGATTGATGTGGAGTCAGAGGGGCAGAGTGAGACCCCTTTGCGTCAAAGCGGGTGAAGAAGATGTTTAATTCCTCCGCCAGCGAAGCATCCACACTTACTTCTGGTGGACTGCCCTTGTAATTTGTTATGTTTTGTAAGCCCTGCCACACTTGCCTTGCATTTTTGTCCGCCAGTTGTTGCTCTACCTTCCCTTTATAGCCCCTTTTGGCTTGTTTAATTCCTCTTTTCAGGTTTGCCCTGGCCACGGCATACAGCTCCCAGTCTCCGGCCCTGAATGCAGAATCTCGGGCCCTGAGTAGCATCCGCACTTTCCGCATCATCCATGGTTTTACATTTTTGAACACTTTAATCTGTTTATCCACTGTGACATTGTCAGTGCAGGTCTTAATGTAAAATAAAACAGTCTCAGTGCGTTCATTTAAGTCCAAGTGATCAAAAATAGTCCAGTCCGTATTTTCAAAACAGTCCTGGAGCTGGCTGAGTGCATCGATGGGCCAGGTTTTGACAGTTTTCCTGACTGGTTTGGTTCTTATTCTGATGGGTCTATATGGTGGCACACTGAATAGTAAGATGTGATCAGACATTCCCAGTTGAGGAAGGGGTATTGACCTATATGCACTCTTTAGGTTGTAATAGATCCTGTCAAGTGTGTTCTTGCCCCTGGTGGGGCCTTTTACATATTGTGCAAACTTTGGGAAAACAGTTTTTAAACAAGCCTGATTAAAGCCCCCAGCCACAATAATGGCACCCTCAGGGTGCTGCATCTGCTGTCCGGATATTGTGTCGTGAAGTCTGGAAAGAGCTGTGTTTACGTTAGCAGTGGGGGGTATATACACAGCTGTAATTAGCACTACAGTTAGCTCTCTCGGTAGATAGAATGGCCTACAGATTACCGTCATCATCTCTAAATCGGGCGAACAGTAAGTGTTTATTACTCTACTGTTTGTACACCAGCCTTGATGTACAGAGACGCATAGGCCGCCTCCTCGCTTCTTTCCGGAGCTGTCGTTTCTATCGAAGCGGTGCGTGGTTCGGCGCGTTAGCTGAATTGCCTCATCCGGTATGAGCGAATGTAGCCACGTCTCTGTTATTACAGACACGCTACAGTCCCGGGTGTAGCGATTGTCTGACAACAGCAGCTCCATCTCGGCAATTTTGTTGACGATAGATCTAGCATTCGTTAGGAAGATGCTTGGCAGCGCTAGTCTGAGCGGCTGCTTCCTTAGCCTGGCTAGCAGGCCCGCCCTGCACCCTCGCTTTTGCCTCCGCTCTCTACGCCGCCTGCGCCGCCTCCTAGTCCCGACAACAATCCACGGAGAGCCCGGTGGTCTGGCTATCGCTGGGGGTATATCCCATGTATCTCTGAAGTCCTCATTTATCGCGACTTCACTTGCAAGTCCAATGTTTTTTAACTCAGCACGGGTATATGTGTACAAGCCATTCACACACTTGATCACATTCGCACAAGACCACAAAAACATAACAAGAGACAAACTAAAACCACGACAAGGGAGAGAGGTCCGGGCCGCTGCGCCCTCGCGCGCCGCCATCACCATCATCATCATAATAATAATAATACATTTTATTTGTGGGCGCCTTTCTAATCACTCAAGGACGCCTTACAACAAGCAGTTAAAAACACAAATACAATGTTAAAAACAACATCAAATAAAATATGATAAAATAAAAAAAAAAAGTGGATGGATTTATGGTCAGAGTGAATAGGCTTGTCTAAATAGATGTGGTTTGAGGCTGGATTTGAAATGTGTTAATGAGTCTATGTTACGAAGGTCAGCTGGGAGTGTGTTCCAGAGCTGGGGAGCAGAGCGACTGAAGGCTCTGCTCCCCATAGTGACGAGGTGGGCGGGGGGGACAGTGAGGAGGAGAGAGGAAGAAGAACGAAGAGAGCGGACAGGTGTGGCAATGTGGATGAGGTCAGATAGGTATGGAGGGGCAAGGTTGTGGATAACTTTAAAAGTAAGGAGCAGGATTTTATATTGAATGCGGTGTATAATGGGGAGCCAGTAGAGATGTTGGAGGACAGGTGTAATATGGTGTATGGATGGTGTGAGTGTGATTATGCGAGCAGCTGAATTTTGGACCAGCTGAAGCTTATGGAGGGTTTTTGAGGGAGACCGAGCAGGAGGGAGTTACAGTAATCAAGTCGGAAGGTGACGAGGGTGTGAACGAATATAGGGTGAGATGGTGGAGCTGTCAAAGGGAATGGAGAAATCGTTTATTTTGTTTATGGTGGATTTAGTGCCAATGAGGAGGAGTTGAGTTTTGTTGCTGTTCAGTTTGAGGAAGTTTGAGGTGAACCATGATTTTAAATGCTGCAGGCAGTTGGTTAGAGAGGATGGTGGAAGTGTGGTGTTTGGTTTGGAAGAGATGTAGAGCTGGGTGTCATCCGTGTAGCAGTGAAAGTGAATGTGATGTTTCCTGAAGATATTACCAAGAGGGAGAAGATAGATTAGAAACAGTAAGGGGCCAAGGACAGAACCCTGAGGAACACCTGAAGTGAGGGGAAAGGGAGAGATCTAAAACATTTGAACTGGATAAACTGGGTGCGGTCAGAAAGATAGGAGTGGAACCAGGAGAGGGGGTTGCTGGTGATAGCAATGGAGGAGAGTCTGTCGAGGAGGATGGAGTGAGAGATGGTGTCAAAGGCTGCACTGAGGTCGAGCAGGAGGAGGATGGCGAGTGAACCGGCGTCAGCAGAGAGAAGACGGTCATTGGATATTTTGAGGAGAGCGGTTTCAGTACTATGGAGGGAACGGAAGCCAGATTTAAATTGTTCGTAGAGGTTATTGGAGGAAAGATGGGTGTGAAGTTGAGCAGCCACTGTTTTTTCTCAAAGTTTGGAAATGAAGGGGAGGTTTGATATGGGGTGGAAATTGTTAAGGTCGGAGGGATCAGAGCCAGGTTTCTTAAGTATGGTAGTGACAGCAGCAGTTTTGAGATGGGAGGGTACATTGCCGGTAGAGAGGGAAGTTTGAATAATGTTGGTGATGAGAGGGGAGAGGGCCGGGATAGAGACTTTGACTAGAACAGTCGCGGGAGGGTCAAGTTGACAAGTAGAGGTTTTGGACTTCTGAAGTAAGATGGAGATTTGGTGGACAGATGGGGAGGTGACTGCAGAGAACAGGTGGGTAGGAGCTGGGGAGAATGGAGAAGGAGGGTTGGGAGCATGTGAAGGGGTGAGTTGCTGGTGGATAAGTTGGATTTTGGATGTAAAAAAATGAGGCCAAGGTTTTACAGAAATCAGTGGAATAGAGATGTGATGGAAGAGTGTCAGCAGGTTTAGTGAATTTAGAAATGAGTGAAAAGAGTGTTTTGGGGTTACCTTCATTGGAACTGATTAAAGCAGAGTTGTAGGTTGATTTGGCTTTGGAAATTGAGTCATTGTAATGGAGGAAGTGGGTAGTGTACATTTCTTTATGAATTGCGAGTCCAGTTTTCCTGTATAATCTTTCAAGTTGACGGCCTTTTGATTGAAGTTGTCTAAGGGTAGGGGTAAACCAGGTGCTGTTTGGTTGAAGGAGACAGTTTGGGTTTTGAGTGGTGCCAGGGTATTGAGAATGTTATGGAGGTTTGAATTGTAGTGTGTCAAAAACTCATCTGTTGTAGAAAGACAATCAGTACTGGGGAGATTGTTGATAAGTGATACTAAATTATCCGGGTTAATGTCCTTGATTTTACGGAGATGTACAATGCGTTGTGGGTTGAATTTGAAAAAGGACAGGTTAACATTGAATGAAAGCAATAGATGATCTGTGTATGGGAGGAGATCGGTTTTACAGTTTGTTGGTGATAATCCTAAACAGCAGATTAAGTCCAGAATATGTCCTTTACTGTGTGTGGGAAAGTTGACAAACTGTTGAAAACCAAAACTGTCCAGACAGGAGGTAAAGTCTTTGGTGAGTGAGTTATTGATATTGTCCATGTGGATATTAAAATCTCCGAAGAGAATCACATTTGGTGATAGTGTATACAGATGAGTGAGAAATGTAGTGATGTCAGTGATAAAATCCTGGTTTGGTTTTGGTGGTCGGGAGATAGCAGTGGCGGATGCTGGTCTGTCAAGAAGGGGAAGCTCAATTTCGAGCTACATCATAAAATGTGTCAGTTTATTTCTACGTAAATTCTACTCTCTGTTCTTTTTCAAGAAAATGATCTGTGACCCTAGCATACCAACAAGGCGTCTTTTCCAGGTTCTTAACTGTGGTGATATAAGTCAGTCTGCGAACACAAGCAACTACAATAAAACACACCAGAAATAAAAGATTAATCTGTCGCTAGTCATTTTCAACAAAGAGAGTGTTGCCATTCGAGATTACTAGAAGTCTCCAGTTCAACTCAGAACAGAATGAGAATTGAAAAATGCTCCCACGGATGCCTACACCAAAAAATCGGTGATTGGCTCATTTTGCTGTCAATCATAACGAGATTCCGCCTCAGACAGATCATCCAACCCTCATGCAGAAAGCTCAGCGTCCAGGCGGGACCGATACACGCCCACTGTCCACAGACTCCCAGAGACGCCGGGCATCCGTGGGCGGGACAAAAACCAGCTTGTATCCAATGACTCGTCTCCGTTCAACGCATTGGGACAAGCTACCCTGAACTCTCGAGACACCCGGCGTCCAGGCAATAGACGCTCTGCGGACGCTTGGCGTCCACCGTTTAAAGCACAGCGAAGCTGCGGAAATGAATGAGAAGGGAGTCGCGTCGTAACCAGTAAGAAGAAGCTGATTCGGAACAAAAGTTGAGCATGTTGTAGCGCATATTTAGTCAATGACATGTACACACAATGAAATTTACATTCATATATTTGATCACTTATTCTTTGACATTTTAGGGGAAGCCGAGCTTCTCTTGCAGTCCGAGAGCAATCGCCACTGGTAGATAGTGGCAATCAGTGTGGGAGTCGATCCAGAGAGGTGTATAACTGTAGCTTCAAACTATAAAAAAGCAGGCACATTTACAGGCGCAAATTTCCAATCCTCACGCAACATCATCGCGAGGCCACCTCCTCTCCCAGTAATGTGAGGTACAGCATGATAAACAAAGCCAGGTGGAGTAGCTTCATTGAGAGTACCATAGTCATTAGGTTGCTGCCAGGTCTCAGTTAGACACAAAATGTCAAACTCATGGTCTGTCAGGAGGTCGTGAACAAACTGGCCCTTACTCATAAGGGAGCGGATGTTCAGCAGACCGACGTTGACAGCAGTGCAGCTGCCAACGACCGCCGCGCTATCCGACCTTGGGACTCGGGTCAACACAGAGGCATCCGCACAGCGTCCGGTGTTCTTCCGTGGGCAGCGAGCGGTGGACCAGAACGACCTGATGGAGCTGGAGTTGTCGTATTGGTAGTTTCGGCGTGAGCCCCGGTGAGTGCATCTTCGCCGGGGCACGTAAAGGATGTCCGGGTGCTGGAGCAGAGCAGGTGGTGGTGGACCGTGTGGATTAAAATAGACTTTGAACTCAGTGGCTGTATTCCGGTGAAGCGCCGCCGATGAACGGTGGAAAACAGACAGGACGAAGAAGCACAAAGCTAGCCACACACAGCTGATCCACATAGCTGGGCTGGAGTAGTGAAGCAGGGAAGCACCAACAGGTAGCAGGTAAGCTAGCCATTAGCCGCAACTCAACGTCACCTCGGCACTCGATGACAGGTAATGACAGTTAGACCGATCACCGTTCACTCAGTGACCACAAAAGCAGGTCCACAAAAATATGCGAACCCAAAAAACTCAAAAAGTCACGGGGGAGCAGCGCCGGCCAGAAACCCGCCAGCGTTCACTCCGGAACCGGAAATTACATGGTTTTATGCCCCAATTTAGGCTTCAGAAAGCTACCAATGGCTGAAGCCACAGTGTATGTATAATTCCAGGATGGACAACAGCTATTTCAGATAACAACAGTTTGTTTCCCCATTTAAAAAAAAAAAAAAGCACGTGGGTAAAGAGTACTCAATGGTCAAAAATATTGGTCACGGATGGGGAGCCAACAGATTTGTTTGTTTGTTTGTTTATTTTTTATTGAACATATAAAATATACAATACAGTAATAAATTGGCAAAAAGTGAAGGCAAGTAAGATATAAAATCTGCAGATCTGCAGGAATTGCATAATGTAGGTTGCAACACAACAAGAACAGCAATGTTTTGCACGCAGAGTTGAGACAAATATCTCTTGAAGAAGAAGGGTAATTTAATAAAGTAAAAACATTTCGGGTTAGATTTGCGTGGACAATATAGAGTGAAAATTCTGGAAGTGTCTCAAAAGGACCGAGGAAGAAACAAGTTTGATTGTTCTGTTTAGCTTTTTCCGCACATTTTCCACTAGTTTTAATGTTACCATCAATGAGACGAACAGATTGCACCATTTATGGGTTAAATTTCAGAACTTAAATTCTTCCTATCGCACCATTTCTGGAAAAAAAATCTATGCTTTCATTTAAACCTGGAGAAGCCCTTTTTAGTGTTAAATGTCACACAGTAATTTTTCCGAATGGTTTGTGAATGAATGCACATTTTATTTTACAATGTTGTCTGTTTTATCTCCAGTTGATGTTTCGAGGTTCAGAATCAAACTCCTACCCATCTACCCCGACTGCCATACTGCCCAGATCAGCCTACTGGCACCACATTACTGGAACCCAACTCAGCATGGACTCCGGTAGGCTACACGCCATCCTTCATGCATCTCTCCATCCATCTCCACATTGTCTATACCATGTCATAGTTCAGCCAAATTGCCAGCCAATTACAGGACTGAAACATACAGACAAAACTCACGTTCGCTCTCCAGTTAACCTCTATATTTTTGGACTGTGAGTGGAGTACCGTACTTGATGACAACCCACCCAAGTGTGGCGTGTGAGCGAGGTTTATGTCTGCGTGAAGGTTTTCTGGCTGGTGAATGTGAGAGTTTTAGTTGTAGTTTGATTTTGAACAGTTCATGTTATTTTTGCTCTATATGCACTAAGTAAGTCATTGATGTGTCGTAGTTGAGTCTTTAGCTTCATAAGTTTCAAGCAAGTCCCAAGTTACTGTTGAGCCAAATCTAATCTCCTCAAAATTTCAAGTTGAGTCAATTCGTCACTTGGGTTAAACAAGTCATAAGTCAAGTCCTCTAATTTTGTTGAGTCACAACACAATGTGTATTAGAGTGTTAAAATATTTTTCACCTAGTAGCACTGGTTCCAACAACTTTTTTTGTTGTTGATTGTTTATTTGAGGCACAGGACAGGATAGCAACTCAACACCACTTCATTTATAGAGCACTTTAGAGATAATTACAGCTGGATATAAAGCGCTGTATTTAAAGTAAAAATCTGATATAAAAACAAAGACAGTTAAAACCAATTATTAACAAAAAATAAACAGTAAATACAATAAAACCTGTAGAGTCTCATGCTGAGTCCAAAGCCAAAGAATAAAATCATGTTTTAAAGCAATGTTTAAACCCTGCATTGGCAAATGATATTTATTTAGTTTGTGACTTGCAACCATAGCAACAGTGAGCTCTCGGTGATCGATCTCTTTTCTATTGGGTGGGCGTCAAATCCTTGGTTTGTAATGATTTTCGGGAGTCTAAAGAAAACGATTACAGCCATCAATGACAATTACAGCCAAGGCATGACTAATGGCAAATAACGCTGTTAGTGGGGTGAATCTTTCAATATGTCTGCAGCCAATGTATTGTGGGAGATGCAGAAAAGGCTAAACCCCTCTTTAGTGAGCATTTAAAAGCAACTTAAAAGCACAGCTTGGATTGACCCTTGCAGGAAATCCCAATAGCACCCCTTATGTGTTTGTGGTTGCCTCCCCGGAGAAGAGTTTGGGGGAGAGGAGTGAAAAAGATTTCGAGTTCAGAGGAAGAAATGGGATTGTGTCTAAATAGAGGCTCAGAGGGGGTCCACGTTTTTCTGTTGCTGGTCCCTTTCTTTGGGATGAGCTACCCTTAAATGTTAGGCAAGCCTTCCTCTGTCCATCTTTAAAATAATCCCTATTTGAGAAGGGCCTTTATCAAAATAAAGAAAGAGGGGTTCAGATTGAGTCTTTAAACAGCATCAGCTTTGTTTTATGCACGTCATTTCCAATAACTTCTATTCCAGTGTGCACCAACACTTGACCAAATCAAGACTGACTTTCATAAAGGGGTGCAAGAACAATGATAGGTTGAGCTACATACTGCCTTGAAGCCTGCCCGCTCAGAAATCCATTATTAGGGTTGAGAGTATGGAAGAAAATCAACTATGAGTTCATAACAGTGCATAGCTATAAAACTGAAAATGGTCTTTAGTGCGAGTTCATTGGCAAAGTGTTGGTCCTGACATATACTGTCTGTGCATTGTAAAAAAAAAAAAAAACAAAAAAAATGTTTGTGCTTCATCTGCAGGTAATGCCTCAGAAGAACTGCTGCTGACACCTTCTTTTGCTGCTGAGCACTACGCTTCTCTGCCCTTTGAAAATGCGCATGCAAAGTCCCAGCCCAATATAAACTCACATTGCCAGAGACTCCAGCCAACCTTCCCAAGACAATGACACATTCATACACAGTTGTGACTGTTATGATCAAATCTGCTGAAAGCATCAATAAATGGATCTTTGTCAACTAATAATCTCTTTTGAAGTTCACATTTGAAAATAATTCGGGTTATCTCACCATCAGAGTTTGTCTCCACTCTGAATCACAATTTAATGGACGCGCATCGACCTCACAGTGCAGAGGTATCGGGTTTGATTCCAGCTGCGGCCTTCCTGTGCGGTGTTTGCATGTTCTCCCCGTGCCTTAACCGTTAAGGCCAGGCCGTGCGGCACCGTCAGCATTTTGAGCAGCTACACAGAATGCAGTATAGTGCATGAGCAGGCAACTTTGCTTATCTGCAAAATAACTGGTCAGCATTCAATGGTACGAACAGTTACTTACATTTTACCACTGTTAGGTGTCAAATCCCCATTACAACTTATCATTGCCCGACTGCCAATACTTTTAGCGCTGTTCGGTGTCAAATTCCCATTACAATTTATCGTTGCCTGACAGCCAAGAAATTACTTATTTTATATTTTTATACTTTTGTTTAAAAAATCCAAACAATTGACGTGAATACATGAGTTGTAACGCTTTTATTTTGAAGGTGACCAACGCCGCTCGCTGACGGCAGATTACCGTAATGCACAGTATTCACAATCGCAGTGGCGGCTCACTTGACTTCAATTTTGCGAGTGGAAACTGGTTTGACCGCAGTGTCTTGGCTCCCCGTGGGTACTGATTATTAAACTATGGGAAATCATAAGCAAAGACGTACTATGAAGGCTGCTGTTGACTGGATCAATTTCTTGACAAGGAATGGAGGGCATAATTTACATAAAATTAAACGTATTTATGATGTAGATTGGGAAAGAATGAGCTTCCGCTCTTTGGTTGTGACGAGCAGCCGCCACTGCCTGGCACCTGAAGGGCTCCATAGTAAATGAATTAAGTAACCCCCGGGGCTGCTCCATTTTCCACATTCAAAATGGCAACGGCCATGACGTACAACTCAGCGCACAAGGCGGTATTTATTTTTTATACCTATGTTGATCGAAAAGACACGAAATGTGCCCTTAGTGTGGTGACAGGCCTAAAGAAACCGATCTCTAATTCCATTGAAACATATCAGGTAATTATTCAATTGTAGGGTAGTAGCATTGCATAATTACCTTACCAAAAGAATGGGAAGGAAAGTCACTCTTGCAACGTGTTCGTTGGATCAGTGGGCGTTGGAGTTTGACGGCAACTTTGAGAGAATACTGAAAAGTAAGTCAGTCACGTTTTGAGATTTATATGACCAACGTCTTGGCTGTTGTTGTTCCTTGATCACGATCGTTATCATCTCAAACAGCAATCAAAATACAACAACAACAATTGAATAAAAATCACGGTGCCGAACTCATACATGAAGTATTTTTGTCTCCTCATTTCTCCGTGAACTGTTTTTTTTTTTTTAAACAGGAAATGTTTACGTGTTTGTCGTACACATTCCTATCCACTGTGCACATTGGGCCTATTCGTATTTTATTTATCGATCATTTGTTGATTAATTTAATAATATTAATTTTTGCGAACGAAATTTCCTCTCTGTTACTATCCTTCGAGGTCCGAGCGGGATGACCCAGAAATACATGGAGGAAAGGTTGGTTCGAATGACACATATCAATTCAAGCCTTGAGGCCAGTTTGGAAATGATGGGCACGACAGTTCTTTTAGTGTACTGAATCATTACTGTGTGTGTGTGTGTGTGTGTGTATGATGTAGTTGGGAAAGAATGAGCTTCCCGTCCTTGGTTGTGACGAGCAGCCACCACTACGTGTGTGTGCGTGTGTGTGTGTGTGTGTGTGTGTGTGTGTGTGTGTATTGTTGGGGGAAAGCCGCCTCCTTTCCCCTGCGTGTTTGTTGAATTTCGGACGAGGAGAATGTTAGTAATCCAAATATTGGCTGGAGTCGATGAACAGTTTCTCCAAAGCTTTTAATAACAGAATATTCTGGGCATCAGTGAATTACAGACAAGGGCTGCATGTCACGAGTGCGAAGCAGGAAGAGATTCACATCACTTTTATATTATCAGAAGAGCGTTACCGAGGCACAAAGTGTGACCTCATCACTTTCGTTTCTCCTAAACCGATTCTCAGCTTGGCACATTCCAATGTTTGTGTGTCTCCGGCAGGGAGTATTTTAATTTTAAGTGATGATTGTTACAACGACGCCAAGCTACACTGTGGGCATGGGAAAGTTATACAGCATGACTGAATATGAGCAGAATACAGACTTCAGTATATAAGATAAGATAAGAAATCTTTTATTCGTCTCGCAATGGAGAAATTCTCAATTCACAGCAGCAAAGTTATGAAAGGAAGAAGTAGAAGAACAAAATATAGGAGCTGCTGGAAAGGCAGCCACTCTCGCGGCGCCATCTTGAAGTCAAAATAACAATATAACACAACACAACACATAAGACACAGACAGACAGCAATCTGAATCACTTTTCCTGCATACACTTTGTTGTTTGAAGCAGTTAGAGATGAAAGACGAGAGGATCAAAGTGTCATTTCACCAGTGGATCAGAGACGTCATGCTGAAAATGTGCACACGTCTGCTACAAGCTAAGTTTTGAAAGCAAGCCCGAAGATGTAGCGTCCATTGACGAAAAAGATGGCTCACATCTCTTGTCCCACGTAATCCGCTTCAACTCCAAGCTGCAACTCCCAGTTCCACATCTGCATCGGTGCTCTGCGCTGACGCTCCTTTCTTCTCATTGTCATCTCCTCAGCCTTGCATCCATCCAGCCGCAGACTGACCAACAGCACCGATCTCTCCGCTGAACAAAGCGGGGCTGTGTAAAATGCTGCCCATTACAGGCGCAAAAAAAAAACACAAGCGCCCCAGAGCTGTCCAGCAATGACAGTCAAATGGCACTGAGTCTCCTCCTTGATGAATGTCGTGGCCAAAAAATGCTGAAAAACAATCCACATCCGGTCCACACGACGCAACAAACACAAAGTGACAAAACAAACACAAAAACAACAAAAAAAAGCAAGGCTTACAGAGCACTTGCCGACGTCTGCCTACTCGGGCGCCATCTTGGACTTCTATATATGTGTGTACAGTACTTGAATACTTGTTTCACTGAATTTTTACTATTTTTTTTTTTCCCAAGATGGCGCCCTAGTAGACAGCAGTCTGCAAGCGCTCTTTAAGAGCTTTGTCTTTTTCGTTTTTTGTGTTGTTTTTGTCTTTTGTTTTGTCACATGCTGTTTGTTTTTACTTCATGTGGACACGAAGTGGACTGTTTTCAGCGTTTTTGGCCACGACATTCATCAAAGGCGAAGAATCTGTGCTTGGTGGTTGCGCCTTCGCATGTACCAGCACTGATTTTGATTGGAAGGAAAGTCGGCGCAATTTGACTGTCGTTGCTGGATATCCCCTGGAACACTTGTTTTCTTTACGCTTGTAATGGGCAGCGTTTTTCACAGCCCCTTTTTGTTTCGCGGAAATGTCGGCACTGTTGGACAGTCTACGCCAGGGATCTCCAACTCCGGGCCTGGAGGGCTACTGTCATGCCTGTTTTCCAGCTCTCCCAGGAGCAACACACCTGATTCAAATAATCAGGATCGTTCAAATGCTGCTTCAGAGCTGGCTGATGAGCTGATCGTCTAAATCAGGTGTGCTGCAGCTGGGAGAGGCAGGAAAGTAGCCCTCCAGGCCCGGAGTTGGAGACCCCTGGTCTACACTGATACGGTTGGATGGATGGCTCGTGGAGCCAAGGATGAGGAGAGAGGAGCGTCAGCGTTTAGCATGGATGCGTATTTAGAATTGAGAGTTGCTGCTTGGAATTGAAATGGATTTACATGGGACAGGAGAAGTGAACCAATCTCTATTTTCGTCAATGGACGCTACAGCTTCTTGTTTACTTCCAAACTTAGCTTGTAGCAGACGTGTGCACATTTTGAGCATGATGTCTCTGATCCACTGGTGAAAGGACTCTTTTTGATTCTCTCCTCTTTCATCTGGAACAGCTTCAAACAGCACCGCGTATGCAGAAAAGTGGTTAAGGTTGCATGACTGTCCATGTTTTATGTTAGATGTTGTGTTATATTATTTTGTTATTTTATGTTAACTGTTTATTTGTGATGTTTATGTTCAGAAACCTGATTTGGGACGATGGCTGAAAACTAGCATTTATGCTAGAGGCGCATTTACACTGTTGTGTTGATAAATGTGCACTGTCCCAATGAAATAAATAAATACTCAAGTAACCATTTGAAGGATTATTTGATACTTGGCTCATTTTTCTGAAGTAAGAGAATTGCTGAGTATTTTGTAATTTGTGGCCACTCTACCAATCTCTTTTAAAGCTTAAATAGTATATGTCCAGTATATCACACTTATACATTATTTTACACTTCCCACTGCCTCTGTACTGTAGAATTTTTCTTTTTTTGGTAGTATTTTCAATGTAAGCTTTAACTCACAAACGCTCGTTCTGGACCTGCACTCTTTGTAAACTTTCCAGTATTTTGTTAACAAAAGGGGTGTTCACACGGCAACATTTGCTCCGGCGCTGCACCGGGGCTGCCCCAGTAGAGCGTTCGCATGTGCAAAGTTACACCGGTGTAGCCCCTGAAAATAGCTTAAAACGGAGCAAATTTAACCCTGCTCAAGGAGATGGTTTAAAAATTTGCTCCGGAGCAAATGCTCGTTTGCGGGGCATCACCGATGTAAAATGGTACGTGTGAATGCTACAGGGTTAAAAATTTGCTCCAGAGCAAATGCTCGTTAGCCTCTCTACGCATGAGAAGAGTTGATTACATATGGCTAGAATGCATTGCTTTCGTGCTCTGTTGTACTTCCGTCATCTTTCCTTTTGTAGGAGACTGGACTGTCTCGGAGTTGTTTTGTGTAGTTTGTTCCTCTGTTGTGTGTTCACAACCCCCCCATAGAATTTATTTTGTGATTTCCTCTCTTGATTTTCTATTTCGCGCATTATGTTGGCTTTTCTGAGTGTCATTGAAGTCATCGTTGATTTACGCCTCTCGAGCAGAAGGCACGGAGACCGAGAAGGAGAAGGACGTGCCTGTTCAGTAGTTGCTTGAGTTGTGTATGTTTTAACAAGAACCAACACGACAGCTCTTTGTTTTCTATCATTTTGCACTGCTGCAGAAACTGCCGTGTGAACGCAAGTGGGGCTGCACCGGGGTTAACATGCTTCTCTTTAGACAGCGGCTTTGTACGTGTGAACGCTCCACAAAATTTGCTCCGGTCTAAGATATATCGCAACAAAATACATCGGTGCAGCACCGAACCAAATATGTGCCGTGTGAACACCCCTATAGTTTTCCTGTGACATAATGCCCTTTGATGTCACATAAAGGTATCTCCCCCCCCCAAAAAAAAAAACTGAATCTGGTGCAATTTCAAAAAGTCACTGAATCAAGATTACATTGAAAATGTAGTAAACATAAAACAGAGCAAAACTGGAATTGAAAATTTGGAGTCCTTATCGTTGTCTTTATGTGTCTATCTAGTCATTTGTTGCTTTTTGTTCTTTGTCTTCCTACAGGTATTGAGATTGCTAAAGAAAATGGAGCCAAATACAGACTGGGCCCAGAGCTGGAAATTTGGTGTGATTTTTTTTTTTTTTTTTAAACGGCCTTAATTTCATGTCATGTAATTGTGCTGTGCAATATGAACATTTTATCTCGATATACTGTACAAAATTATATATCCTGATAATTGTTTATGCTTTCTTACATTAAACGCAGTAAAATGAATAAAATATTCATAAAAATGAAATCAAATGCAAATATCCATCGGCAAAATAAATGTGGTTCAAAATAGCCAGTTAGTGAAGTCAGTTTCCAAGGAATGCAATAAAACTGCAAAGATTTAAAATAAATACACACCCAATTACATTTGATATTTTAAAGTTGTCATAAACGATGAAAACAAAATTGCTCCGCAACGCCACCTAGAGTGGCAAGGTAAAAAAGTATCCCGGTATGTTAGACCTGCGCCTATGAAAATTGGCAGGCACGTGTAGTACTCCAAGTGAAAAAAAAGTCCATTGCAGCGATAATCTCAAATGAACAGGAAGAGAACTATGAAATCTTGAAGGGCCACTTTTTGCTCATTTACAGGGATCATACTTTAGCACACTTTCCCAAAAGAGTTCATCCGATTGACTTCTAACTTCGGCTGTACCACCTTAAGACCGAGGACAACAGCAGATTTTTTTTTTTGTTTTTTTTTTTAAGAATTTTCAAAATACTGTATTTCAGGTATGGGCCATTAAAATTTGCATTTCACATTTCATTTTCAACAAATGAGGAAATGCTTAATAATGCCTCTCCTCTTTTTGTTGAAAAAATGTTATCCTTAGTCCTGAAATTCCAAACTTGATTATTTGGTTAGCCAAAACGACCTCATATTTGCTCAGAAAAGATGTTAAAACACGAACTTTGTGACTTTTCGTGGAACGCTGTTGCTATGGCTGCTTGCAGTTCACCAAGAAAGCAATGCTAATATTGAGAGTCTAAAATGCCATTTTTAACAAAGCAGCCTCGGTTGTATGTTTCACCTAGATCGAAAATTTGGTGGTCTATTAAACAGCACAGGACCTACAAAAAAAGTCTCTTGGAGCCATGTGCTAAAGCTAACAGGAAGTCCGCCGTTTTACATATACTGTATTTCAACATTCGTCATTGCCATGACTATAAAAGCTGCTGAAACTTGCCCCAATGTTTATATCTTGTCAAAAATGTTTAGGCCTGAGTGATTTTGCAACACAAAGTTTGCAAACGCTGTTGCCGTGGAAATTCATCAATAAAACCATGATACGGATGCATGAAAACTTTACACACAGATTAGGCCAGGGCTGTGAGTCCCTGTTAGAGCTGCTCGAAGCTGTATTTGGAAATGGATTTGTGCAATCGAGCCCTTTCCAAGTTTGTAAATAAAGGTTACATGACCGGAATGCATGCGCATTGTTAGTGCAGAATGGTGGCGTTTGAGAACACCTACACAAGCAGATGAACCGAAAAGGATTGCTAAAACTACTGTAGTAAACTCACATCACCAGATGTAAAGCAACTTTCTGTTCCTTATGGAATTACAGAGCTGGAGGAAGACATTTCAAAGTGGCCCAATATCAAATGGCCAGATATTCATTGACTCATCACGGATTTGGTTGTGATAAACATTAGAAATACTGCATGAGGTGTAGTTGAAAACGAGGTGACAGAGGAGATTCCATTGCACACCAGAACTAAAAATAGACACCCTTTTTAACAAGCCAAAGCGCATTTTTATGAAAGGAACACAAATCAAACCTATGCGCCGTGATCACATGGACAATGTCGGTAAAGATTTTCACATACACAGAAGCCAATAACCAGTTAGCCCAGGGGTGGACAAACTTTTTGGCTCGGGGGCCGCATTGACTTTTAAAATTTGACAGAAGGGCCGGGTCAGCACGCGCTATGGTACATTAAAAAAAAACAAATGCATTTGTTGACAGTCCATATCAAACATCAACAGAACAAAAGCATGAAAGTACTGTATGCATATCATTTTTTTAAAATGAGAACAGTGTTGTTGATCACCTATTTTAGCCAGTGCATTGCTGCAAATGGGTTGTGATCAGACTAGTAGAAGTAGAGCAATACAGAGGTCCGTAGGTGGTAGATAAGATGTCTTTCCCTCCGTCTCCCCCCTCCTCCCTGTGCTCTGCAACTTCAAGTCAATGCGCCACCTGGCGTTGAAATGCCTGTCATTACAAGTCCAAATGAAATGAATGCAATCATTCACATCGAACCTTAATTGTGTACCAACCTTGGGCGGGCCGGAGTAAAAAGACCAATGGGCCCGATCCGGCCCGCGGGCTGCAGCTTGCCCACCTCTGCGTTAGCCACTTTTATTTTGCTGGTGTTTGGTTTGATGCCCTGTAAAATAAACATCACAAACATTAATGAAAATGAATTCAAAGCTTTTGTTGCTTTTGCATGAGTGTGCATGGTAGCTCATTGCTAAATGAATTAGCTACCAGTACCTAGGTAGGCCTGCCATTACTCCATAATTCATGACAAGATGCTTCCTTGTGCAAGTTGCTGGCCACTGTTCCAGTCTGGCAAGCAATGTTTGGTCACCAATAGTGCAAGGTTAGTGAGACTAAACTGTTTTCTTACTGGCCAGTGGAGGAGCTCTGCGTCGCGAACACTCGCTCCACATGTAGCCCCCCGGGGGAGCTCAACACCCACTGCCGGTCTGTGTCCCGGACACCCATCATTCATGCAGCTGTGGCAGGGGGAACGCAGCTGGTATCTGTAAGACAACCACTGGAGGTTGGCTTGTCAAAATTTCAATGTTGGATTTTGAAAAATCCAGCATGCCCGTGCGCGACCCAATGCAGTGAAGAAAATGGATGGCGGGATGGACTTTGAATAATTTGTAGCCTGTGGCTCTAGCCAGGGGGCCAACCCTGCAGCCGAATGCGGTGGCTTACCGATGAGTCTTTTTAGGATAGGCGGAAAAAGTAAGTCAAGGTTTTAGATTGAATTCTTAAATACAAATGACCTACGAACAATTAATTTCTGAAAAGCCTCTCTGAATGCATTGTGTTTGCGAATCTTGGTGTCGTATCTAAGACAACAAATACCGCATGAGCAAAACTGCATGAAAGCTGCTCATTTCCTCACTCTCTGATAAATCAGCTGAAGAGAAGCTAATCTCTATATTTTCAGAGGTTGAAGTTGGCATAAGAAGAGATGTCCACATATATTTTGGGGCAGAATAATTCCTCCGGTTTTGACATTATTACCAATATATCTACAATGATTTTGTATATACCAAACAAAGTGTGCCCATCTCCTCTGGAGACTCTCACCAAGACATGTGAAGTGGGAGGGGGTGTGGCTATATTGCTGACGAGAAAGCGGCGTGATAAGAGTAGTTTGTTTTCTGATTTCTCCAAAACAAATTGATAAAATTGAAAACGCAGGCTGATATCATTTTCCTGATTAAAAAATAGAATGAGTGTGTAAGTGAAAAATGGGCCATCCTGGCCAGATGCTCCGTGTAATTGTGGCAACACCTGATGAGACATGCTCCTACATGGAACATTTCACTGATTGCAGTGTCAACTTTCCAGCAAGAAAGAGCACCAATAGACTGTGATAAGGTCATAAGTGGTTTTGATAAGGTACAGTAGACACTTAGGTGGCCTGGAAATTTCTGTGGGGATGGTGTGCAAAATAATTTCCGGCGACCATTTTTTTGATCAACTTGATGCTTCATGTCATATTTAAATATGCCCTCATTTGACCAATGAAAGTGCTAAGAAATTGAACATTTTCAGAAACACGTTTGTCATCTCGTTTTTCAGGCCGTGCCGTTACCCAACTGCAGTGTGTGTGTAGATAAAAGATAAAGAAATAAGTGTCATGTAGATTTTAGATTGTGTCACACAGCTCTAATTACTGTACATTCCTATGTCAAATTGTCAATGTTTTGATGTTCTTGAAATGTCTCAGCCAAAATGGAGATCTTTATTAAAAATGTATGCCTTTTCATATCAACTGACACCTCTCTTGTAATTCCTCATTTTTATAGTGGGTATGGTTGTGCGGACCACTTTCATGAATCGGATACATTGCTACACTGTTTTGAAGTTCTCAAGAAGCTTCTGGAGTCTCCCATTACCCAAGACATTATTTGTGACGTGGGAATGTAAGTAGTAACAAAATGCTGAATTCAATAAATTCAGTCATGTTTGTCTTGTATGAAAAACAAAGTGGGTCAACATCTTGTCACTATTTTGATGAAGCATTAATTTCTCGCCATGTGCTTGTTTTTCAGGCTTTTTTCTTAACACTGTGATTTATTACTTTGTGATTTTTTCAGACTTCTGTTGAAGCGCTTTCACACATAAGGACATTGGAGCAAAGATTTTATTTGAAATTCCTTGAAGAGTCTTTGCATTTTTTTAAAAGGCACCAACATTGACTCTCAAAAGACATTGGTTGGACATGCCTAAAAATCTGTGTCGACGTCCATAGGTGCTGGTACCTCAAACACCGCTGTGTCTTTTCCAGTTGTTAAATTGGTTGAAAAAGTAGAAATATAGTTTTTGCAGACATATTTCCTCCGCCTGACCATGAGGTCGAATAATATGTACTTTGCAATGGACAATTTGTATTTTAGGTGGTGGTGTTTTTTTTTTTTTTTTTTTTGCTTGTTTTGTTTTGTTTTTAATTTTACATTTTCTGATGTAGCCTTTATTCATATACAGGTATTTCTGTTTTTCAGTGCCTGACACAGATTTGAGATTATTTTCTTCTGAGTTGATTATAGATCTCTGTTATGTGTTTTACAGGACTTCCCTTTTTAGACAAGTCAGTAGTATCCTATTTGTTTTTAGTTTTCCTCCCACTCGTAGTGTGTACAATGCACAATTTCCATTGAATACCACCTCTCTGCTTTCTATTTTAAATTGAAGAACCACAGAAGGTAGTTTTTCAGTGACATAATTTACTTCAGAATGGGCTGGAGATTGCACCTGTTCGTTCGCCTTATAGCGAGCTGAATCCAAGTCTCTTGTCTTCCTTCCTTGTCTGTTGGTTAAGTGTTCTGGGTTGCAATAAACCTGACCCGATACCAGACTTATAGTTACATTGATATGTTCCCTTTTCATATTCTTCCCCATTTGAAGTCAGAGTTGGCATTCTGTGAAGGGGTTGCTGTTTTTTTTCGTCTGCAGTCAATCATTTAACAAGTGAGGAGAGGTAGTGTTTGACATCATTAAACCTGCACATCTTGTAATTTGACACAGTTGCAATCCAAATCATAAAAGTCAAACTGGTCTGTGAAAGGTGAGGGCTCCCTGTCTGCTAGATTAAGGTTAAATACTCTCATTAATTCAGATATATGTGTTTACTGGAGTCCACAATAATTAATTAAAATGCAGTGTAATGTAAAAATATGTATGGATAATTGTTGTAATATTCATCAAGACTGTTGTTATGACATGACAGTAGTACATGAGAAATATGATGGTTATGACAACACTCGATTACCAATGACCTTCTTCTCTAATGTAACAAAACAAGACGCAGCGGTGTGCCGGCTTTGAAATTTCCTGTGGGTGCACAACTCATGCCTGTTGCCTCATAAGTCATGCGACTGTTTCTGATTGGTTGTTTTCTTCAAGCGTGGTGGTTTCTTCTAAATTAAATTAGAAGCAATTTATGGAGTCAGAGACGGCTATATATCTCAATTTTTTTTTCCTCCAGTTCATATTTTTCATGTAATACTGATAGATCATAATGACAGTTTCAACAAAAATAAAAAAAATACAAATAATCTTTTGAAAAACTCAAACTTTAAATGAAAGGTAAGACGTTTCTTTCATCTTCAAATTCCAGTCCTGGTTGTGTTATATTGATCTGAGTGTTTTATTCCCTCAGGCCCATCATGCATCGCAATGTACGCTACAACTGCCGGGTGATTTTTCTCAACAGGTAAGTTTTAAAACGTTTTAAAACGAGCATTTACAGATTGCGTTATTTTCAAACCCCAAATGCAATTCCATTGACTTTGGGACATTGTGTTGAACGTAAATAAAAACATTAAACACTTATGTTAAATATGTCTTTATTTTAAATTGGGTTTGTACATTCAAAAACAGTGTCGGCACGGCAGAGGCAAGTGAATTTAAATGCAGAAAAAAGCTACCATTGGCAAAGCTCAAGGTTACTTATGTTTTATATTTCGGTGTATCCATTTGATGAGAGACTGTAATTGGTTTGAGAAATAATATTTATAAGATAATATAAAGTTGCCTGGGTCCTGTCCCCCTCAGATTTATTTTTCTGAAGGGTGGATAGACTTGATTTTTTTTTGTTTGTTTTGTTTTTGGAGCCCCTTTAATATTGGTCTGAATGGGATCATTGAATAGAAATTGGTTATTTTTGGTATATTGTTATCCAGTATTCATAACAAAAGTGAGATGGGTAGACTACTCCCATGTTTGTGATCTGCCTTTTCCTTCAATTGCCTAAATTTTAGGCAATTGGAGCATGGGTTTGGGAGCTACGGTCCGCCAAATTTTAAGATATATGGCAAAAGGGGGCGTGGCCAGCCTTCCTTGAAACCAGTGGTGTCAAACGTACGGCCCGCGGGCCAGAACTGGCCCCCAAGGAGGTTCCATCAGGCTTGTGGGATAATTTAAAAGTGAAAAATAGCATAAAAGACACGGAATTAATATTTTAATAGGGTGCAATTCATGGAGTATCCGCGAGGGGACACACTGTTTAGATCAGAGTAGAAGACCACAGCCGCCTCATCTGTCACTGAGACAGACCCAACACAGCAGACGCTATCAAGGACATGTGAATACTTAATTCTTTACACGTTTAATAGCACTCTCCTTAGTTTGTAAGCTGTAGGCAGGGATTAAATTTAGATTTTATATGCACATGTGTAAATGGTTGAAAAATTCCTTTCTTTATAAATCTCATTTCATCTTAAAGCGCATTACTATATTTTTCAATTACTTGTTAAAGTTTTGCGCCTTTGTACAATCAGTGGGATCAGTTGCAATGGATATATGTGAATGATAAAAGTAAATTGCACATTTGTCTAAGGCAGTGGTCGCTAAACTACGGTCCGCGGGCCGAATCCGGCCCACCTCCACATTTGGTCCGGCCCCCCTGAACAATACAATGAGAGTATTTTGATTTATTTTTCATCTATGTGAATTTGTATTTGATCATAGAGTTTGGCTTTTGCAATAAAGTGTTCCTTAGTTCTGAACTATTTTCATTAACTATTAGCTAGTAACTATTTCATAAACACATATAACGTGACATCTGTCCATCCTTCTGCGGTCTGTGCCGTTATCTGGCAACTCCAGAAAAAAATCCTGAACCCGCCCCTCTCAAAGATAATCATGGCGAAAAGGTAGGTAGAGGTAAAAAAAAGATTCAGAATGCAGGGGATTTCACCCAAAGTGGAGAAACGATTATATATACCTGTATATATATTTTTGTTAAATGCAAAGAAAAAGCTGTCTGTCTCATTTGTCAAGAGGCGGTGGCGCTATTCAAAGAGTACAATCTGCGGAGACACTGTGAATCCCGTCATAAAGACATCTGTTCGGCTAGCTTTCTGGTTGCTCACCTGATAGCAAGGAGCGGTAAACTTTTACTGATGGAAAGTTTGTCAAGAAATGCATGAATGCTGTCGCACAGGAGGTGTCTCCCGAAGAGACGCCTTTAATACCGTGAGTCTATCAGCGGTTAGAATCACCAGACGTGTCGAAGAAATCACGGGTAATGTATACGCCCAGCTGCAGCAGAAGACGAAAGAATTTGAATTATTTTCAGCTGTCAGAGGACAAACATGACACAAAAATTAACGTTTTCCGATGTAAAAATGTGTTGAATAAATATTAAATGTTAACATTGCTTTAAACTGTCACTGCGTCATAGCCTGTGACACTCGTTTAAATTAGCAGGGCGGGATGTCAGTCAGGGGGCTGTTGTAAAAAAATTTCATGTATAATTTCATGTATAATTCACCGAGGGTACTTGCTAAGAATGGGAATCTCGGCGGCCAAGAGAAGCATTTTGAAACACGTGAGCTAGGATAGTTAGCACGCTGCGAAAGTGCGTCGCGTGCCTTGTTCATCTCAGCGGCCGTTATGGCTGTCGCTCATGACGGCATGCGTGTGTGTGTGCGTATGCGCGTGTGTGCGGTAATGGGTCGATCGCGGGAGGTTGGTTTTTCGAAAAGTAGATCTTCCGTCAAAAAAAGTTTGGGTACCCCTCCTCTACAGGATGAACTGCAGGGGAAAAAAAAAAACTTTTAATCATGAATGCCCGTTGTGTATTTGTAGGCAACTTAGTCATGTAGATAGCGGGCTAATATAGCTCATATAGATACATACAGCATGTGTTGCCTTCATTATAAGGCTTTTTATTTGTTGCGGCTCCAGACATATTTGTTTTTTGTTTATTTTGGTCCAATATGGCTCTTTCAACATTTTGGGTTGCCGACCCCTGAACTAGACGAATGAACTAACTGATTTATTCTCTTTCCTGTTAGACAAATCCTACTGATTCGGCCAAAGATGCTGATGGCCAACCATGGCATCTACAGAGAGATGCGTTGGTTCTCACCCTGGACAAAGTTTCGGTTGGTAAACCTCAAGCTATCAAGGCTGAAGTGATGTGAATCTGTTGCACTGTGTTTCCTCCCACATTCCAAAAACATGCATGGCAGGCTGATTGAACACTCAAAATTGTCCCTAGGTGTAAATTTGAGCGCGGGTGGTTGTTCGTCTCTGTGTGCCTTGCGATTGGCTGGCAACCGGTTCAGGGTCCCCACACCGCCTACTGCCCGAAGATGGCTGGGATAGGCTACAGCACTCGCGACCTTTGTGAGGATAAATCGGATAAGAAAATGGATGGATGGATGGATGTTTTCATCTCAGAAACCCAATTGGTCAAGGGTAGCACATGCTTACCTGCAAACTTGGTAGTGCCTGGAGGAATTAAGGGCCACAAAAGCTGGCTCCTGCTCAGAAAGCAAAAAGGGCCATTGCTAGTCTACCTTATATGAGAAATAGCCCCTTCCAAATTGTCACCATTTGGCTCGAGGATCAGCAGCAGCGGCGTATTCCTCTGAGCCTTATGCTCATTCGGGAGAAGGCCAAATCTATCTCTGCGGATGTCAAGGCTAAGGCTGGGGAAAGCGCTGCCGAAGAAACGTTTTCTGCCAGCCACGGGTGGTTTTTCCCTTTCAAGAAGAGGGCTAATCTCCACCATGTGGCCTTGTCCGGAGAGGCAGCTTCTGCGGGCAAAGAGGCTGCCGAGCGATTTCCCCAAGTGTTGAAGGAGATCATCGAGGAGGGTGGCTATTCGGCTAAGCAGGTCTTCAATGTTGACGAAACAGGTCTGTTTTGGAAGAAAATGCCCGAGAAGAACTACATTAGCTACGAGGAGAAGACGATGCCCGGATATAAAGCGGCTAAAGACCGCTGAACCTTCATGCTTGGGGCGAATGCTGACGGGAGCTTCAAGCTGAAGCCGCTGCTAGTTTACTGGGCAGCTAACCCTCGAGCCCTGAAGAACATGACGAAAAGCTCGCTCCCCGTTATATGGATGTCAAACACCAAGGCATGGGTGACACTCGCTGCATTTGAGGACTGGTTCTTCCACCATTTCATCCCAGAAGTGAAGTTGTATTGTTGGGAAAATGGAATTCCATTCAAGATCCTGCTGGTGCTGGACAATGCCCCTGGCCACCCCCCGCACTTGGATGATTTTCATCCTGACGTCAAGGTTGTATACCTGCCGCCAAATACAACTTCACTTCTGCAGCCGATGGACCAGGGCGTTATCGCCAATTTCAAGAAATATTACACCCGACGGACGTACAAGATGGCCTTGAAAGCAGTGGATTCTGACCCCGAGATGACCTTGCGGAGCTACTGGAAGTCCTATAACATCTTTAACTGCATCAAAAACATTGAAGCATCATGGCATGAGGTTTCCGAGGTCAACCTCAACGCCGTGTGGAGGCCTCTATGCCCTCAGTTCGTCAGCGACTTCCGTGGCTTTGGTCAGGAGGGCATCAATAAGGACATTCTCAGCACTCTTGTCGGGCTAAGTAAGAAACTCGAGCTTAACCTGGAGGAGGAGGACTTCAAGGAATTGCTTGAGTCCCATAGGGAGGAATTGAGTAACCAAGACCTCATGGAGTTGGAGGCTCAGCAACGTGTCGAGAAGGAGGTGGAGGACGAAACGCCTGTCCCCATGAAGAAATTCGAGACGAAACTCTTGGCCGAGGGGTTTTCGCTCATCGATAAAGCCATCGCACTCTTCGAGCAGCAAGACCCAAATATTGAACGTTGCACAAAGGTTGCAAATCAAATGAATGATGCCATACAGTGCTACCGCATCATTTATGATGCGAAAAAGAAGACAACTGTGCAGTCGTCGTTAGATCGCTTATTTCGGCCAGTTTCTACTCCCTCCAAGGAAGATACTCGTCAACCCACATCTTCTTCTCCTGGACCCTCAACTTCTTCCTTCATTGATGTTACGAAGGAGGAAGTAACTCTTGAAGCCCATTCCAGCGACGACGAAGACCCTCTCGTCCCCGTGATATAAAATCCTCTTCGAAAATAAAATAAAACAAAATCCTTCGAGTACATTTTCATTTTATTTACAGGATCTTATTATGTAGATGTACATACTGTGTGTTTCTCTCTCTTCTCTCTCTCGCTCTCCCTCTCTCCCTCTCTCTCTCTCTCGCTCTCTCTCTCTCTAACATATGTAGTACTGTACTGTATTCACGATGTATGTTGTGTTGCACACATATTATTTTATTAAATGTTTATTTTTCAGTACAAACCAATACAGGTTGCTCATACAAGCCTTAAACATACGTATATAAACGTTAAACATACATATATAAGCCTTAAACATACATTCCATACAAAATATAGCACTGAAGCAACTTACGAACGAATTCAGCTAACGAACGATCCTTCGGAACGTAACTCGTTCGTTAGCTGGGGGAGCGTCTATATATATATA